AAGCAAGAACTTGTATTATCTGTAACTTATCTATAGATCCATACTGATAGATCCATACAGATTGATAGTGCATATATAACATATACTAAACACAACTGTTGAAATTATAAAGCAATGAAATTGAGTCTTTCTATTCAGAATATAATTTAATATTAGATTTAATTAAATTAATTAATTTAATTAAATTTGGTTTCTCTGAATATATTTAAATCCTATACAAAGGGTAATATTTGGATTAATTTAATTTAGTTTAATCTTTTATTAAAATATATAGAACTAGAGTGTGCTGCTTTTAAAATTATGAACAAAATCTTCCCTACCTTTACCAACACTTTTTTCAATACTAATACCTCGTTTCATCAAAATTCTTAATCTATTTACAATTAAACTTAACCGAATATTATATTATATATTCTAATTATAATTTTAAAAATTACTTTCTTGGACTGCCTACACACCACTTTCAAATGTTAACAAAAACAGATCATCTGTCATCATTTAATTTAAATTTAATCAAATATGATTCTAAATATTGGAAAAATATTTATTCGTTTCAAAAATAGACAAGAGCAGCATGAATACGAAGGTTAATAGTACATCCAATAAAAGTACAAAGAATAGAAACTTATACTGTTTTAAATAAAAAAGAAACGCCTTAATAATAAATTATTTTTATAATAAACATTTAATAAAAACAAAAATGGTGACAATGATGAAGCTCATTTCTTATGTGTCAATAAATAAAACTGTCATATCTGAGGAAATAAAAAACTATGGTGCCACCAGAGAAAACCTCACGTCTGGGCGGGTCCAATGTACCAAAACTCGTCACCAAACATGGTGCAGCGCTCATCAAATCAGCTTTACATTGCAGCTTAGCACGTATAGAGCTCCGCTTTTGGTTAAAACAACCTAAAGGCAAGAAATTTTTTATACGCCCCACAATACCTGACCCAATATTTTGATATGAGGCATATTTCACAGAGCTATAGTCAGTCTACTGCCTTTATTTTAGCTTTTCCTATATCTCGCTTATGCACTTTGGCTTAGATAAACCAAGACTTCTGAATACTAACCCTCTTTATCTAAACTATCTCCTTTAATATCTTCAATGAAATTTTTCCCCCTGCCCGGAGGGTACTGAATGCTGATACTTTCTTCATTCATTCATAAGGTTTTAGATGCCTTCCACTTACAACAAAATAATACGAGAAAGGTAGCAATCAGCACATCCAAAAGTTATCTATATTTTCATCCTTATTGAAGTAAAGTAGTGAAAATAAAAAGAATCCAACTCTTTATTTCCCTCTTTTATACATGTGTCTCATCTCATTTTATATATATATCTCATATTACTCAGTTAAAATATTTAAATGGACATTAATGTATATATATATATATATATATATATATAGAAAAGCAATCAAATAATAACAATTTGGAACACTTGATAAGGACAATGTATCTATATATTACGGTATATATTTAAATTCGTTCTAAATATTAAAATTTTTCTTATACTTTATTCTGTGTGAAATACATAATGACTTATTTTTCGCTTCAAATAAATTAGTTTTATTTATTTATTTATTTTTTTTTTTAAACATCTTTTAAGAATCTTAACTATTAGTTAATTTATTACTATTACTGAATTGTACTTAATAGATATCAAGTAATACGTGTACGGGTTTACTGAACTAGTGTTCAGCTTCCATATAATTAGTTTTAATTAAATAAATATTATTCAAAACTTTTAAGGCACATAATTACCGATTTAAATCAAGTACATACATTACTAAAGACGTAAAAAAATGTATTTGTTTATTTTTATTTTTAAATATCTTTTTTATTTGTAAAATTTCAATCTGATAAATTAAAAAATTTTTTAGAATAAATCTTCAGCAAATATTTAATAATTTATTAATTTAATTATTATTTCATTAGTTTCAATACTAATATAAATATAAATCCTGCATGACAAACAAAGTTTATTAAGAAATTGTACCCATAATTACATATTATAATATACAACTTACATCTGACTTTAATATTACTAAACATTTTATAAGAAATTTATTGCAGAAATTAAAGCAAAAAAAAATAAAGAAAAGAATTTCTTATTGCAACAGCCAGAACCATCCTGCAAGGATAAATATCCAAATGTATCGCCATTTCTTAAACGCTTTTATGATTTTCTGCACGTTCTCCAGATACAATGTAGAAGCAAACATTTTTTACTTAAGCTTTTCTTCTTTAATAAAAAATATTGCATAAAATAACGAAACAAATAAACTTACATTGCCCTTAAAATGCCTTAAATGGTTTAGCAAAAACTCTTTGCTTACATGGACGAACCAAACCCAGCCGCACCGAAGGTAAGGAAAGTACTGCAAATGCTGGCATATCGCATAAAATGATTAAGAATGGCTTTTGTTTAGCTTTGGTTTTGCCTTGCAGGTTCACTGGTTAGGGACTTCTCCACTCTCCATGCATGCTCTTATGGTAACAATGAGTTATTATGTTTGCTGAAAGGATACGCTAACCTCATAATGGCTTAATGAATAACTTATGTCCCTTTTAAGGATAAATGAAACACAAGGCGTTTTTAAGTGGATCCTTAAGGTATATTTTGCATAACAAAAGTTCAACGTATCGCCAGTCTTAGAGGTGTACGAGCTTCGTTGAAGAAATATTTCGTGCATTTCTTTTTGTGTTAAGTTACAAAACAGGCAAATTGATAATAAATATAGTAAACTTTTTAACACGCCCAAAAGACTTTTAGCACGCTTCTCAACAATTGCTCAAATGCAATCCAACTGCCAAATTCAATTGTTTCATTTCTCGAAAC